CTATTGCCTGTCCTCAAGGCATTCTAGCAATTTGGATTACCTACAGCTTGCTGTGTTACTTTTACAGCAGATGTCAGGGTGGTTGAAGTCCCCCAGTAGGACAAGAGCCTGCGAGTGCAAAGCCTCCTGGAGTTGGAGGAAGAACACTTCATCAGTAGGCTCCTCTTGATCTGGTGGCCTGTAGTAGACACCAACCACCAGGTTCCCTTTGTTGCCTCTCTCTCTTGATTCTTATGCATAAGCTTTCAATCTGCTTGTGGCTATTCTTCAGGGACAGCTCTTCACACTGTAATGATTTCTTGATGTAAAGGGCAATGCCTCCGCCCCTCCTTCCTCACCTGTCCCTTCTGAACAGCCTTTAGCCATCATAGAATAGAATAGAATCACTTTGGTTGGAAAAGACCTTTAAGATCATCGAGTCCAACCTTTAACCTAACCCTGACATCCCACCACTAAACCATGCACCTCATCTATCCTTCTTTTAAATATCTCCACGGATGAGGACTCGACCACCTCCCTGGGCAGCCCATTCCAGAGCCTGACAACCCTTTTGGTGAAGAAGTTTCTCCTAATGTCTAGCCTAAACCTGCCCTGGTGCAACTTCAAACCATTCCCCCTCGTCCTGTCGTCTGTTACCAGGGAGAAGAGGCCGACCCCCACCTTGCTACAGCCTCCTTTCAGGTAGTTGTAGAGGGCAATAAGGTCTCCCCTCAGCCTCCTCTTCTCCAGACTAAACAACCCCAGTTCCCTCAGCCGCTCCTCGTAAGACTTGTGCTCTATCAATAGCTACATTCCAGTTGTGGGATTCATCCCACCAACTTTCAGTAATGGCAACCAGGTCATAGCTTTCTAGCATCGTGGTAGCTTCCAACTCCTCCTTTTTGTTTCCCATGCTGTGTTCGTTTGTATAGAGGCATTTCATCTGAGCTGTTGGCCACGTTACCTTCATAGTGGAACAATATATTTTCTCACTAGAAAGATAACCTACTCAGGTATATTAAGTGTAGAATCTCTAAAATAGGAAGCCTTTGAACCACAAATCACTGAAGTTCCCACATCTTGTTTTTTCCTAATACACTTCCCTGATGGTTTACTGTTGGCCTCTGTTGATGGCCAGTAGTAGATGCTGGGTCAAGTTGAACTTTTTGGCATTGTGTTTTTTGCATGTTGCTTCTGAGTTCCACATTTTCTTTTGTTCCTGAGTTCTTTGGTGATTGCCATTATTCTCTGCAGTTAAAACTGTAGGTGGTAATTCTCTTACTACTTTAGTCTTTGTTGTCAAGTCATTCTTAATTGAGCCTAATCAAAAAGATGTTTAGTATGGTTCATTTTTTAAAACTCTTGCTGCTGACTTTCATTGTTAAAACTTTCTATTCATATCATTTAAAATTTATCAGAAACTAGAGATAATAGGCCAGATCAGTACTTCTAAGTGTTTCAAAGAAAACAAAAATGAATTAGTTATTTTTTACAGTTACCTATTTCATTGTTCATCCTAATGCTATTGTTAGCATGTAGAAATAACTGACAAGCTTTGCATAATTAAAATGTTTTGTTTTAATTTGTTCTACATTTGGGCACTGTTCTTGTATGTGTTCATATATAATTGAAATGTAATACCAAAGCATATACCATGTTCTGCTCATTTTAGGGGGAACTGTTTTCCCTCTAAACAGGGTGATGATTGCTTTAGCCATTGTGCGAACAAACACTTGTGTTGATCTCATCAACAAGTTTATTTGGAAATTATCCTCAATTAAATCCCAGATGTCTGTATGGTCTTCGAAGTACTTGGACATCATCTCCTAAAATGGATAATCAAGTCCAATTATCAAGGCCTTCCCATCCGTTGTGTAAAAAGTATAATTCGTCAGGTAAGATTTGTTAATGTTTAATTAGTTTTTTCCACGATTTTTAACAGCTTGAAGGTTAGAATGATGATATTTCAACTGAACTCTTACTAATGAATATCTAAGATAAGATAATTTTATTGGAAATCCCAGCGGGGGTTGCAAGAGCATCTTTCTGGATTATTCTGTTTTGTTTTTAATCAAGATTTTCCACTGATAAGGGAGTTTCCTGAGCTGCTTTAGAAAATAAAAAGTTGAAGCAGTGAGTCTTTTTCATAGATGTGAAGATATTCATATTCCGTTGCAGTTTTGGTTGGCACGTCATGCTTCTTAAGATCTGGAAAATAAAACATCAGAACAGTGGGAAATAATTTTATTATAAAACTGAACAAAAATTGTATCTCTGAACAATAGGTTGTAAAGGAAAAAACTGTTCTTTGAAAAATTGTCTATCTGTATTTTAAGTTTTTGTAGAGTCAGAGGGTTTACAAGATGAAACAGTTCAGAACATTTCACTGGGACTTGTTCTTTCAAAAAATGTTCCTTTACTATGAAAGTCAAATTGGTGAGGGGTGATCTTAAGGAGAAATAGTGTCTCAGCAAGGAAAAATCATATCTATATCTATATCTATATCTATCTGTTGTTGTGTATATACTATTAATCTATGTGCAGTTAATATCTACAAATGACAAATGAAATATTTTGGAACTTAGGTAACTTGTATTGCTTTTCATTACCTCTACCTTTTTAATAAGGAGTCTGTTGAAGTAGTTACTTTCTTTGTAATTATTATTATATGTCAACTGGTGAATATCAACATATCAGCTCTTTAATCAGAATTAGCTGAATAACTTGGTGGATGCAGTTGTTAGTATACAGTTGAAATTTTAGGTCCATTAATTTCTGTACAACTAGGTGGCTCAGATGCTAGAAATAAGGAGCTGTAGTAATGCAGTGCTCCCATGGAACTGAGCTGCCTGCTAAGAAATGGGGATGTGTGTATTTGTATGATACGTGCATATAAATATCCACTGTTCTCAGTAAACATCATTTTTTTGTTTGGAATATTTTCGCTTTGGTTGCACCGTTGTCCTGGAGTTTGATCAAAACCTGAGAAATTACGATGTAATTTCTTGATACACCAGGTTTAGCAGCAAAGCCAGGTTTAGGAGCTCCTTGCTGCAGTTTACTCTTACCTCAGTTACACTGCCAGTTTGTAGAAGCAGGCTGTAAGCCAGACCACTGAATGGATCCAAGCTGAAAACAACCCCTTTTTGGAAGGAAGGTGAGAACTTCTGAACCCAGTGTTAAACAGCATCTTTGCCAACAGGCTTTCTGTAACCTAACAGAGGACTTTCAGGTAGGATCTTCAGGGGTGGTGACAACAACACAGTGAGAAGAGGGGTCAGCAAGGACAGGGGCCTGAAGGACAGAATTATGGGGGAGGCTCTCAGTGCTTCCTCTGATTGTCATGACTGGGGGATCTGACTTACATGGCATGTACAAATGTATGCAGCATGATGTAACATCATGTTCCTGCCCAACAAGGGCAGGAATTAGAAACCTGTAAGTAGTTGCAGAACTATGACCTCATGGTGAGTGCAAAGGTGTGGTGGGATAGCTCAGATGCCTGGAGAGCAGCAGTAGCCTCATGAAGACAATTTAGAAAGGATGGCCAGGGAACAGGAGTTGAACTTAAATATTTGAATCTTTGCTGTAGAATAGGTCAGGGTCAGAGGGTCGATTTCCAACAAGGGTGACATCATGGTATGTATCTGCCTACAGGCTGCCAATTTCAAAAGTAGATGAGAAGCACCTTCTTCAGACAAGTGGAATAAGCTGGTTCTTATGGGGTACTCTTAACCACCTTGATATCTGCTCTGGTGGGGCACGTGGAGTCAAGGAAGTTTCTGGAGTGTGTTGAGGACAATTTCTCAGCATGGGGTGAGCTGTGTGTCAGCAAGGAGACAAGTTGGAGATGCAACTTGCTGGACTGGTTACGAATAAGGATGAAGTAGTTGAAAATGTGAAGATTGATGGCAGGCTTGGCACGAGGGGTCCTCGTAGACAAACTGAACGTGAGTCAGTGGTGGGCTCCTGTGGTGATGAAAGCTAATCATGTAGTAGGCCACATTAACAAGAACAATGGCTCTGGTTCAGTACTTGAGGACTTTGTACAGATTGGGGCTCCAAGTGCAAGACATTGGCTTAGTGAAGTGAGTCCAGTGAAAGGCCATGAAGAGGATGAGATAGCTGCAGCGTATGATGTATGAGAGGTCTTGGGAGAACTGCTTTGTTCACTTTTAAGAATCATAGCACCATAGAATCACTTTGGTTGGAAAAGACCTTTAAGATCATCGACCTTTAACCTAACCCTGACATCCCACCACTAAACCATGTCCCTAAGCACCTCATCTGCCCATCTTTTAAATACCTCCAGGGATGGGGACTTGACCACCTCCCTGGGCAGTCCATTCCAGAGCCAAAATTTGCGCTACACATGTTCTAAAAACTTATTTATGAAACTTCAATATGACACAATTAAATTATTGCACTGGTGTTACTGTACCACAGACCATTTTGTTTCAGAAAGTACTATAATTCCGTGCTACAATTGAAAAGGAATTTTTTAGGCTATGATTTGGAAAATATTTTTTCAATTTTTGAGTGCATTTGAGCATTGGGACAAAATTAGGTTTATTTTAAAATGCAGCTGAGAGTTGAGTTTCTTAATAAGAAATTTCATTTTGGTTTCAAGCAGATTTTTTTCCCTTGGGGTAGAGTTACATGAACTGTTGTGCAAGAGAAGACCTTGCAGAATTCCCTTTTTTTTCAGTGGAAATGATTGGAAGTGTACATTTCTTTAATTCTGGAATCCTTACTTTGGGTTGTAAACTGTATAGCATCAGTCTCTTTTGAGAGGATCACGTTCTGAAACTGATGCTGAAATGAGCATCGTGTATTCGATCAATGAAAATTTTCACTTTTGCTTTGATCTACAGTATAGTAAATAATCTGTTTAACGGGTCAATATGATGTGGCTCCTTGAATGAAAAAGAAAAAGAAATGGATATTAATGATAAAGTGCAAATTACAAGTTTCTTTGTGTGAAACTAACCATGTGACCTTTACAACAGAAAAAATACAGACTTCTAATTCACATTTTTGATTGTGGTGACAGGATCTGTCGTAATTTTTCAGGGTCACAATGCATTATCCATTTCATTTTCTTTTTCCTTTTTCGGTGGACAAATAAATAAAAACTAGGAGTGTCTTCCCTGTTCTCCATCATCTCAGAGCATGGTGCAAAGCATATCCATGTAGTATACATTTCCTTACTTGCTTAGTGGTATAATGTACTTCCAGTTTTTAGGATGAAGCAGTCTAATCCATATTTTAAGACAGCTAAGAACATTCTTTCTAATTATAAAATTCTAGCAGAATGGAACTGATTTGGATTCTAAAAACCAGTCTATTTTCTATTCTTTTTTTCCCCCAAAAAAGAATCTTCATCCAAATTAAAGACAAAGCTGCCACCCTAACACTGTTACTTAAAAGGGGGAAAGGCTGTCATTTTTAAGTGGGAGATACCAAATCTAGTTCTGCATAAACTCCACTTCTACATATCACAGTGGAACGGATACTTTTTCTTCTGAATGTTTATGGCTTTCTTTGTACTCTGGAATCCTTTCTTTTCTTGGCCTCAGAATTACAGACATTCAGTAGTAATTTGTAAGATGGTCTGTAGGGCAGTGATGGAAGGATGAGACTATTCTAATCCATCTCTATGGTGCTATTGCTGTTAATGCCTCTTTTAAAATTTAAAGTCACTTAACCACTAACTACCTTTGCAGTATAAACCAATCTCTCTAACATTTCTTACTTTGAGACATGCTGTATGTTCTTTCAGTTGCTTTGGCAAGTAAAGCATATTTTGGATCTGCAGGAAAAAATCCAGACTATGAAGAACACAGCAGTTTCTGGTGTACCATTGGCACTGATGCTGAGTCCTGCTTAAGTGAACATACAGGTTTTATATAGGCATATAAAGAAAGCTTTTCAGAACAGTTGCTGTTCTAGTCCAGCTCCAGAACTGGAGAAAGCAGAGCCATGCACTTGAAGTGTTTCTAAGATACATTAGCCTGAGTATAGATATCATATGCATGCTGCTGTTCTTCTTCTCCTGAGTGACCTTGTGTGCTGGGTGGATGTACCCGTTCTGGTTCTAGCTAGGACTGGGTGGTAGACTAATGCCTTTGTATTCTGTTACTGGTATTTCGAACCAATATGTTTTGCTTTTAAAGTTCATGCTACCTAGTTATGTCTTAAAGGATCCTGAAAGCCAAGGAGCTTGCTAATTTATTTATAAAATACCTAGAATGGCAGGATGTTCTTGTACCTGGAGCTCATGAGTCTGGAGGTGTGTTTCCTGCTGCAGAACATTCTCTAAAAATGGAAAGAAGTCTTTAAGTGGGGTCAGCTGGGTTTCTGCTTTTTTTTTCTTGCTTGCTGATATTTTTCTACAATATTTATACAGATTATTATCACAGTAGTTTGGTTTATGCTGTTACATTATTCTGTACTGAATAATTGTATTAATTGACTTCCACAGTTTATCATACCTAGGTCTTACTTAAAATACTTGTAAAATCACACGAGCTATTGTATTTCTGTTACAGTCAGAATTGGAGAAATTTTTCGTTGTGTAAAAATCATGTTTTAATTTTTGTCCCAGAATGCATTTTTAAGACTTTGGATATGCAGGTTTGATATGACCTAACAGAATTTAGCGTGCAGAGAGTATGAAAGACCAGTGGAAAAATACATGCAACAAATACAACTAGATAAATCCTTATATAATATCTTGGTCACATTAAAAGCTGAATTACTATTGGCATTCTAAGGAAAAATAAAGTTAGCATCTCATTCCAACAGCACATTTCCCTTCTTGCCTTTTTTATAATCAATTGTAAGATGGTTACTCTCAAACCAGACTTCAGTTATAGTATGTAGTACTCGCAGTGGGGTTTTTTCTCATAACTATCTTTTAAACAATGAACCAGTGAGCATCAGCCTTTCTGACTGAGCAGCCAAATTCCTTTTTCAAAGGAAGATATATCAAATTTTTTAACACATGTGCAGATCAACTGAAGACATTTGGGAAATGGAAGTCTGAGAGCAAGTTGCTATCATCAAGACAGTTCATCCAAACAGCCTCTTACTCATTAAGGTCTCAATAACTGGGTTTATGAGCTAATAAATTACCCTGTCAGGCCACATACAGACTGCAGGCAATTGGTTGAACATCTCTGTACTACTAATAAATACATTTAGCTTGGTGTGGGTAATTAAAATAAATTTTTATAAAATCCTTTTGTAATTAGGTACTTCAAGGTTTAGATTATCTACACAGCAAGTGCAAGATCATTCATACGGATATAAAGCCAGAAAACATTTTGATGTGCGTGGATGATGCTTATGTTCGTAGAATGGCTGCTGAAGCTACAGAGTGGCAGAAAGCTGGTGCTCCTCCCCCCTCTGGCTCAGCAGGTATGATGTTATATTTAAATGCAAGGTAGTAAAGATCCATCAGTATATTAATGCTAATAGTATTTTGTTTAATGAAAATTAACATTTTAAATAACTGTGTGAAAAATGCATGTCTAGTTAATTCTTACTCATACTCTGGAAACTGACAGGGAAATGTTTTCTTCTCATTTTTTGCACGTTCAAGTTTTCAGGGTCCCCAGATACAGAAAAAGATTTATTGATATAAACTTACTCTCCCCCCACTCCACAAGCTTTGATAGCTGGGTTTTAGCCACATTGGAGCCTTGCATCTCTAATATTGACAATAATTAATAATCTTATCTAAATTACGTGTATAGTTCCATTACATGTTCATGAGCATCTTTGTGAAATTAACTGCCTTATCAGTTATAACTTATGCTCAGAATGCAATGAAGAAAAGTCTTAGAGCCCATAGTTTTTCACCTTGAAAGCGGAATTTATTGTACCTAACTGAATTCATGATAAACCTTTCTCCCTAGCACTGTATATGAAAAGTTTTATGTTAAACTTGCCAAGAGTTTGGATAGGAACTGTATATAATGTCTAGCTAGGAGAAACCAAGGTAAAGAAGCTCACAGCAATCAGTAAAGACAAACAAGGAGGAAGTGTGGCTTTTCTAGTGATCTTTAGTACCATGGGGTTGCTGTCTACTTGCCAATTGAGCACATCAGCTACAGGCAGTGGAGAAATAGTAACATTTAAATACCTTTGTAATATTGTCAGATTAAAATCTCTGAGGTATAATAAAAATGCCTGCTATATCAGGAACAAATACTGTGGTCAAAATCCATAAATACTTCACAGTATTATATATGTGAAAATGCAAAAATCATACAAATTGTGAATACATTGTATTGAATTTTACATAATGTGTAATCACATAGTTAAAGACTGTGTGGTGTTTGTGTGGGAAGTAACTCGATTTTGTTCATGCAGCCTTTATATTGCTTCCTGACATTAAAATGAATATTATTTTAAGGAATATATTGATGGAGTTTTTATCACACTTTGTTTTTAGTAAACTGTAATTAAATCCATGGCTTTTCACGCAGGAGCTGAAGATGTGTTTTCTTTACAGCATTGCAAGAATAGGGTCTGCATAATTTCCATTTTTAGAGCAGTGATGGTACTCAAGTTTAAGAATAATTTTGAAAACCTTGCCGTTTGAGGGGCTTACAAGCGGTTTTTTCCCTGAACTTAGCAGAAGGAGCGGAACCTATAAAAGAACTCTGAAGCCTCAACTGTCTCCGGTTTTTATTTTGCATTTGTTAATTGCCATATGCCTGTGTGTCTGAAGAAGTTTGTGAGAGGTTCTCCTCCCCCGTTCAGTTCCTCTTTCTCACTTCCACTTTGTCTCCCGTATTTGGTTATTTCTATTGGGTTTTATTATTTGGGGGTGGGGTGGGGGGGTGTGGCAGCTTGTATTGCCATTCTGTGCCTTTTCGGAGTGGGGTGTGGGGGGTGGCGTCTTGTATTGCCTTTCTGTGCCTTTTCACAGTTAGTATTGTAATCTCATCAGACCTAGGCACTGGTGGTACCCTTCTGAAAGATGCTTAGGAAGAGATCTATGCTGGAGATGCTTTTTCTGTGGTGGTGTGCTTTTTGCCAAAGGCACTTCTTCATGCCTCCAGTCCTAGCAATCAAACTAGCTTCTTTCAGAACGAAGGAAACATGAATATTTGACTTTTCTATTGAGTGCAACACAGTAGTGGTCTTTGTTGATATTCCCTGAACTGTTGTTCAGGGAATAAAAAAAAAATCTATCTATTTAATCTGTGACAAGTCTGCAGTCATTTAATGTTTTCTGTCCACTCTTCAGTGATTGAGACTTTCCTTTCTGACTTTCATTAACTCTCCACCAACTACAACAGACTGAACAGAAATTGATGCTAGCTCCTTCCAATTCCAGATGCTCTAATGGAGACATCAAATGATTTCAGGTAGCAGGTACTTGTAAAAAGTAAAAAAAACTGACTTAAAAAGAAAAAAAAATAACTGCCTTATATGTAGTTAAGAATATTCGTTACATGATTTCTACTACTTTCTGCTTTTATAGAGGGTTTTCTGTAAAAATATATCTTTAAAATTTTATTTTTTCTTTTTAGTGAGTACAGCTCCACAACAAAAGCCTGTAAGTATTGTTATATAATTCAAATTAACTTCCTTATTTTCTGTGGTTTTGTAGGTATTAGTAGCTATTAGAATGTTGGTAGTCTCTACCCTTTTTAAAAGCTTCCATTGAATAAAGCTTTTATCTTTCAAAGAACACTTTTCTTTTAATGTCTTCGGCCTTACCAGTTTTAAGCACAGTATTTCTCTGATGGAAACTCTCAGAGACTTACAGTTCTATAGCTATGTCAAAGAAAGTTAAGCATGTCCATTTTCATCTCTCAAGGAATAATCCATTCTGTTCATATCCTGACAAAAATGGGTGCATGCACTAAATAACATGCATTGCATATAGCTTAAGGACTCCAAGGCCTGAGTCATCAAGGCCTTAAAGGAGAGGACTTTTTATGAGGTTTGAAAGATCTTTTTGCCATATATATATATATAGCAAATAACCACTGATAATACAGCTGTTTAGAAATACCTAAGGACAAACCTGCTTTCTATGTCTGTGTGTACAGAATGTATATAATTTCATTGGGCACACAACATGGGTTGAAAATCAATAGGATTGTCAAATTGTCTTGTTTTGACTGTCTTTTGAAGATAACAGGATTTACAGATAAACCTTTGATAAAATAATATTTACCTTTGTTCCTTGTAATGTAATTTTAATTATACGAGGATTTCTTACTGTGATGTCTAAATGATGAATGAAAACTGGATAGACCTCATTTATCAAATAGTAAAAATAGAAGCGAGAATTCAGTTAAAATACAAGAAAATGTTTCAGTCCAAGCTCAGATGTGTTAATTTTTCTTTTCCTTGTTCCTGTACCTGAGTTTTTCGGTCCTTATGTTATATAAAATGTGAAACTTTTCATAATGGCCATCTGTTGTTTGTGATTCATATATTTTGGGCCAGAAGTGAATAATAAAAATGCTTTCCTTTCAAAAGGGAAATAGCTGAACAACACAGGATTTATTTAAAAATCTTTACTGTTTTCAATCTCTTTGGCTTTCTCTCATCATTTTTTTCAGCATACATTTGCTGGTAATTACATGTATAAAATTTACATGTCAATAACTAGATATGATAGCAGACTATCTTCCGCATACAGTATCCTCTGTTAATCTAGATGGAAGTTTATTGTGTCTAGTTGAGATTATAGGATCATAGGAATTTTAATATGTCACCTTAGATTTATTTTGCTCTTGTATCTAATAAACAACCACGTAAAAACATCTGTAAGTGTGTAAAATTTTGATAGCTTTTTTTTTGCTTCATATAGCTCTACATCATTCTTGATTTGAAGTAAAATGGAAAAAGCAATATATTTACTATATTAATTGCCGTCCAGTATTTTCAAATATAAAGTAACCATACTGCAAGTGAATTTGATGTGAGATACCTTGAGAATAGTTGTTCAGGGGTTTTTTTGTTTTGTTTTCTTTTGTTTGTATTAATTTTTCAGGTTGGAAAAATATCCAAAAACAAAAAGAAAAAACTGAAGAAAAAACAGAAGAGACAAGCTGAGCTGTTAGAAAAACGCCTTCAGGAAATAGAAGAACTAGAGCGAGAAGCTGAAAGGAAAAAAATAGAAGAAAATGTAACCTCAGCTGTACCATCAAATGAACAAGAAGATGAGTACCACCCAGAGGTGAAACTAAAAACAGCTGATATAGAAGAGGTAGTAGATGAAGAACCTGGAAATGATGATGGTTAGTATTACCTGCTTTTATTGACCCTGAATTTACTGTTTCAGCAGGGAAAGTAATTGCAGCATTGCATCTGATGCAATGAACAAAGCCTCCAAACTTTCCTAGATCATTGTTTCATTTTCTCCTGCAGGTAAAATCATAACTACAAAGTTCAAAAAGGAAAAGTCAAACCTACTATAGAAGTGAATAAAAATGTCAGTAGCAATCTAGCTATTAAATCCCACAAAAGAGCACATAGAAAATTCAACAGAACAGTCAGTTGTCATACCACATTAAGTGGCATAACCAAGTATCTTGGTGAGACAGAGGAAAAATAAGATCAATTTATATTCTGTAACATTAACGTAGTTATAGTAATCTTTACTTTCCCCTTTTCTTGTTGCAATGTTTGTTGTAATGGTCTCTTCAGGTAACAATAATTGCAGCTTCTTCACTAAAATTTGTAAGATGTCTTGTTAGAATTCTTGTTCAGTCCCAGTGGTTTGGAGCATAATTGTTGTGGTCCACATGTGTTCTGGCTAACCTGGTTTTCTTGTCAGCTCTCTCCAATTCTGATAAAAATGTAACAACTAAGATTGTTTGTCTCTTACTGTGACTTTTCCTACTTCTATTGATGACTCTGTTTGACACAGATTGAGTTATAGATTTGTAAAGCTTGCTTTCAAGACCTCATGTATTTCCCTTCATAACATTCTTCTCTTCTGAATTCTTCCCTCCTGAACCACTTCCCATTGTTTGTCTTTTCCAACAGCCTTGTTAGTTGTTTCTTTTGCCTTTAATTTAGATATTTAAGGTTTTTGCATATGTCAGTGATACTCAGTGTTTCCTTGTGTGGCATGTGAGAAGTCAAGTAACTGAAGAGTTAAAAATTATGAATGCCTAATTTCAAATGGTATTTTGATCTATGATCTAATGTGTTGCTCATTTAAATTTTTCAGGTGAAGCAGAAGATCAGGATGAAAAAGAAGACACCGAGAAAGAAAACACTGAAAAAGATGATGATGTTGAGCAGGAACTTGTCAACACTGACCCTACAGACCCTAAGTGGATAGAATCCCCCAAAACAAATGGCCATATTGTGAACGGCCCATTCCTATTGGAACAACAGATTGAAGATGAAGATGAGGAAGAGGAAGAATGTCCAAATCCAGAGGAGTATAATCTTGATGAGCCAAATGCAAAAAGTGATTACTCTTATAGCAGCTCCTATGAACAGTTTAATGGTGAATTGCCAAATGGACGTCATAAAATTCCTGAGTCACAGTTCTCTGAATTTTCAGCTTCAGTGTTCTCTGGGGCTCTAGAGTCTGTAGCTTGTGGTTCTGCTGTTTCTGAAGGATCAACTGTAACTGAAAGAGAGGAGAGCAGCCCATCTCATGACAGGAGCAGAACAGTTTCAGCTTCAAGCACTGGGGATTTACCAAAAAGTAAGTATTCCTCTTAGTGGCATACACACTGCTTGAATTCTCTTGCAGCTGTAGGTGATGTCTTATGTAGAATGAGCAGTGGGGTTAAAACTTAAGTAGATGTTTTATCTGCATTCAGTGACACACGTGTGCAGATTTTCCTTTTTATTTGTTTTGGGTATTTTGGTGAAAATTCAGTACAAACCCTAACGGGTAGGCTGTCACACGCTTCCTTCAGTAACACAAAAGGACCTTTCGGTAACAGACAAGAACTCTGTCACACCATTTGCCTGACTTTGATTGAACACTAGGTCAAGCACTTCTCAGTGATGTTGACTTTTCTCTACCTACAGGGTGAAGTGTTTTAAATGTTTTTAGTTTCTGGATTGGTGCAAAACCTGCTAATGTCCTGGCCTGCTTCGTGCTTGAATCTGGAGTGCCCACTGAAAAGATGGTGCCTGTGTGCCAGCCTCTGCAGTCAGAGAGATCTGTGCAGGCTGCTGCCAAATGCCTGTCTTTCCTAGGCACTCCCTAGACCTGGGAAGGGAGGTGGGATATGGGGTCAGATTAACCATGGCTAGGGTTAGCTACTGGGAACTCTTTTTTCATTGCTGAGTGATTTAATCTTCTTGGTTTCATCTATACTGAACATTTTGCTCATTGAATTATATGTTGTATGAATGCAGAACCTCAATTATGAATATTTTAAATTTAGTATTTCACGTTAGAAGACTTCTGGCAAAAAGGCAGAGCAACTATCTAGAAATTAAGAGGGGTTTTAAGTTAGTTTGGTCCCAAAGCATTCTGGTGAATTTTGACGTGCTAGGATCAGGTTTCAACAAAAAGAAAACATAATATTTTTTAGTGGCTTTTAGAAATAGAGGGGCAAAAAAAGCACTTTTGATTTGAATTGATGGACAACTTCTGTCTAGTAGCATGAGTGTGTATTACATTAAAAAAAAAGAGGTAAGTGGAATAAAAAGGCAGTGGTTAGGATAAGAAAAATTTGTAATAGTCTCATTAAAGGCAATAGCTTAGCTAAGCTTACTTTAAGTAAATTGGATGATTTTTCTTTCATTCAGACCTGGCAGTTTGATAGATGCAGCTTGGAACACAATACAAAAGCAGTCTTGTTAAATTCAAACAAATCTACTGTCTTAATTTTTAAGAGGAAAGCAGAACTGTGATTTCTTTTAAATTTTTTTTCTGCTGTACAACTTGTTTTTAAGGGTATTAAATAAGTTATTGTAGATTAAATGTTTGTATTGACAGGTCAGTTTATACAGGAAAGAGAAAAGGAAGTTTATAGTTGCAAGTAAGCATTATTCCCATAGTTAAAGGGCAGAAGGTGATCATGAGATCATGTAACCTGACTTCCTTTTATAACAAGCCAGTAATACACCATCTGTTGAGCCCAGTACCCTTTATGTTTGGCTTAAAACATATTTCCCAAAAAGATACCTGCTCCTGATTTGGACAAATGAAATAATAAAAAATCTAGTGTGGTTGAAGTGTGTTCCACTGGTCACCACTCAGAACTGTTTCAGAAGAATTGTAGGAAGTTTCAGTTTGCCTGGCTGCAGCTTCTAGCTATTATTTCTTGTTACATCTTTTCTCAGTCATACTCAAAAACTCTGTAATACGCTGTATATTCATTCATTAATGGTTCTTTTCTGTTTCAAACAGTTCCTCTCTTATCCTTTTATTAAAACTCAACAAGACTAATCCTTTGTCTCAGTAGGGCACATTGCCAACCCTCACCTCGTGGCTTTTCTGTATTTAGCATGGTTTTGGACATTTAAATTCTGGCCACCAGGACTGCTCTGATCCAAAACTTTTGCCTGTAAATCCTGTTTATTGAAGTCGTGGAAGGTGAAATGTTGGTGTCATTGCAAAGAGCTGGATTTTTGCCATTGAATTAAATAGCTCCAGGGTATTGCTCATAGGTTTTATTTATAGTGCCAGTGGCTAAATGATAAATATATGGATACAACTTCAATAAAGAAAATACTGAGAGACTGAATCTGTAAGCGGATAGAAGAAAATGAGATAGCTTAGGAGAAGATCACCAAGCCTGCATCAACAGCATCCCAGATGAAGTTACTAAATTTAACGGAGATGTATTGAAAAATACAGTGGAATGTATTTCTTGGTTTAAAACTTCAGAAGAGCAATTCACACAGTTTATTACAGAGTCTGACGGGTAAGGTAATCTACAGGTAGGCAAGAAATGTGAAGTAAAATACAACTGGGTAGAGCTATATGTCTGGAAAGTGTCAAGATCCAGGCTAGTAAGTCTTCCAGTCCTTCTCCTTATGATCTGTACTCCCTTAAACAATGTAGAGGAGGTTCCTAGATGCCTGGTAGCCTCTTCTTTTGCACTGCTGGCAGTATATAAGCAGAAAGGCTCTACTGCTGTTTTCCTGGAGTGATATGTAAAATACTCTTGCCTCCAGAGAGTAAAGCCAGTTTTGTCATCATGGGAGCAGGTTATCTCCATAGCTGGAGAAACAAACCTACCTTATTCCTCCTTGATGTTATCTCATTGGGAGCAGTTTACAGACCTGTGCAAAGAAAGAAGATAAGTAGTAAATTCAGCCATAGCTCACTTTTTCCTCAGAAAGAGAAAAAGCTGAACATTATGAATATTAATGGCATCAATAATAATGTTGGGTTAAACAGTAATAAAACAGATTAAGGTATTCAGAAGAAAGATTCAAGAGTTGCAGGCTATTTAGTATTTTTAAATGGTGCTACTTTTTCACTATAACTTTAGTGCCCTTTTAAAATACAGAAGTAAACTTTTATTTGTTCCTCTGTGTCTAGGCATTGCTATATATAATTAAGTAACACAGTCTCATTTTTTCCGGATACTTGCCTCATTCAGTGTACAGACCAATTTGTGTTCAGTGGATGGGCAGCTATCAAGTTTTTATCTTTTTCAAGTTTTCACTGCGTGACCAAATGCCCTTAAGATATATCTATTAATTTCCTCATGACTGTCCTCCTCATTCCAGTGTTTGAATGTTTACTGAGTATACTATCATGCTGAGACTGTGAGAAGAGGAGGTGATATTTCTCAGTTTTACAGAAGTGGGACACACAAAAGTGAAAATCAGAAATGCTCGCTAATTTTGTGCTCGGGTTGAGCTCCTTTGGATGCTTTTTTGAGAGTACTTGCTAAAAAGCATGTTCCTTTTGGCTTCACTTTCAGTTGTGAATGATCCACATTTTTCAAATTCAGAATCCAAGGTCTCATATTCATCTCTTGGAAAATACTGGACATAAACTTCATGAGTTCCTGAGAAAAAACCCAAAGTGTAGGCACTTGCCTATTACCTTGTCAGGTCTCTCTGCTAGAAGAAGGTTGAAAAAAGCTGTTTTCTAATGTCATTTTTAAATGCCTTACCGATGAGGCTTTTTTCCTCCCTTCATTCCGCTTTATTTACTGCAGTCCTTCACCTTCAAAAAGTTGTGTGGGAAAGATTTATCGAGCACTACCTTTCCGCCTCCACACCCCACCCTCCCCC